GTGAATAGATCGCAAATAAAATTTTTTTGATATAAAAATATATTTTTAAATTTTTTTTATGGAAAACTAAAGTTGTTCTGAATCAATACTCGTCTATCCCAGATCATTATCGGAAGAATCAGATATGCATATTAAATCATAACTAAATGAAATTAGAGTTTCACAATAATGAGAAAACAAATCAATATGTTTTTCAAAATAATGTTTGAACAATTTTACACTTCCATATTCAATTTCCAATGATATTTAGAAATAAAATTTTGACTAAGACAATTTTTCAAATATTTGGTGTGCAATGAACACTAAGCTGATTTTTCTTTTGTGTTGTTAATGTGAAAACCAATTGCAATTTTATAGATTGCAATTATCTTACTAAAAAAATAGTTTAAAATATTTCAACACAAAGAGAATTATTAATATATAAAATTGAACACTAAACGAGTTCACAAATTAGAGGGAGAGAGATAGAGATAGAGATAGAGAGAGAGAGAGAGAGAGAGAGAGAGAGAGAGAGAGAGAGAGAGAGAGAGAGAGAGAGAGAGAGAGAGCTCAAGGATTTATGTGAGTTATTTCCCAATTGTCCTCACATTTGGCACGTCTGTCCCCAATTCCAAATGGAATTGAGATATTTAATAATCTTTGCAAAATGTTGAATACAAGAGAGAAATAGAAACACAAACCACCAAATCCCAAATTTGATGTTGATTATATCTCCTTCTCTTCCCTTGGTCTTAAGCAAGATCAAATGTTAAAAGATTTTTAATTTGATCCTCCAGTTACCCTACTTTTTTTGGCAGAAACTCATTTCTTCAAAACTTTCACTCGGCTGAACCCTAGTTGCAAAATTTTGTCCCCAAAATCCCAAAACCACACTTGATCTTGGAGGGAAAACCCTAACTAGTTTTATCAATGAAACCCCCAAAGTAATCTTAACCCAATTTGAACTTACAAATCCTAAATTGGACCTTATCAAACTTGTATCTAGATGGCACTTAACAAAAACGATTATGTATAATTGTTGTGTGTATGTATAGAAAAAGATTGAAGATGATGAAGATTCCTTTGTATGTTCTTTGATTTCATGTATATTGAAAAAGATGCATGAATGATATATATATATATATATATATATATATATATATATATATATATATATATATATATGTGTGTGTGTGTGTGTGTGTGTGTGTGTGTGTGTGTGTGTGTGTGTGTGTGTGTGTGTGTGTGTGTGTGTGTGTGTGTGTGTGTGTGTGTGTGTGAGAGAGAGAGAGAGAGAGAGAGAGAGAGAACAAATAAACAGAACTTATAAATTTTTTACAAGTATTTAGAATTTCCAAACAGCATGTGTCGACCTAAGACATGAATATGTCAATCCACAAAAGCATTTTTGCTTCTATGTGTCAACCCGAAAAGCCTAGGCATCGACTTTAAGCATGCATTTACTTTGGCTTTGCCAAAGGCTGAACATGCTTCGACCTATAGTCAGCATGCATCGACCTGAAAGTGTTATGTGTCGACCTGAGTAGCTTATATGTCAACACATACTGACAAAAACTTTAGTTTTGTAAAATCTTAAGTATGTGTCTACCTCTAGCTTAAATGTGTTGACCTATAGACTAATTTTTCACAAAAAATGTAATTTTAACTTGTAGAAACATTTATAACATGATTTTAGGTATTCTAAGATAAAAATGCATATCTAGACACAGAGAAAAATGTCCAATATTCAAAAATATTAAATGTCCTAATTTTGACATCATTCAAGACATTTCTAAAAGGAAAGTGCACTCACAACTTGGTTTTTAGAAAGAGTTTGAACTTGAAAACACATACTAAAGAATGGCTTGCACGGCTAAACAAAACAGGGTTAATGTGTGGTATTAACAAGCACAAGTGTTGTGTCTGTATGCGATGCAAAGACATAGCATAAGAAATACATGCCTTTGAATTTAAGATAAACTCTAGTACATTAACTGTTATAGAATGATTTTGTAGATAATACTTTGTATTTGTGTTAAATAATTAAAATTTTTAGCCCCAATTGAATCTTGTTCTTTCTGATTATAATTTATCCAATGTAATGATAAACATGGAAATGTTAGTCATCAATAAAGTACTAAATTAGTTGCAATTTGAAGTTTAAACTGAATCAAATAGATTGAAACAATTTATATCATAGAAAAATGTTCATTTTTTGTTACCATGGTAAATTTAGTATTAGAGTTCAATATCAATTTTGGAAACAATGCTAAATTATCACGTTGGGCCTATGATTTGAATTTGATAATCATTTAAGTTTCGTGCATTTTGAAACAGCATAGACGAGTATGCAACATGTTGATTAGAGATCAGGTCAACTTGTGAAGAAGGAGAATGTGAATATAAAAGCTCAAGTCATTTTTACATAGCCATATCACAGAGGTATGTTAAATCGAGACGTATCATATTATTATTTTTGTGATTTATTGGGAAATAAAAAGGTTATATGTATTTGGTGTGTATTGGTCAACTAGTACTTGGTTTTGAATTTTTTCAAAAAGATCAAAACACGTAATAAACAATAAGATTACACAACCAAATTATCTTAATTTCGTAGACGAAAACCTCAATATTAAAAATAAATTTAACTGTTTAAGAGTCATGAATGACTCAATAACATAGATAGTCACACATGATAGTTCATGGAGTCAAAACGGTATACACACTTAAACCATATTAATCCAAAATACGAACAAAAATCATCCCAAGTCAACATGACACAACGTACCATCATAATCAATGACATTAACCAATGTTGCACCCAAAAGTCATCCCAATCCTTTGAAAATCATAAAAACATCAAACTTCAAATTTCAACCACATTTTACCAATGCATTCCTTAGTTTTTCTTGATTCTTCCAATAAGTTGCATACTTTGGCACCACTTCGTCTAACAACACATTAATACCTGAATGTACTAAAAATATAGCAAGTTTCATTCTTGTCGAAGTCATAACCTATATATAATTATGAGCATTTAGGATAATTAGAAATATAATTAAAAGGAAAATGATTAAACTAATGATATTCACATGAGTTCATCTTACAGTGATATTGTCAAAATTACTTTAGAAGGGACACTCAGTCATTCACAAGTAAAATATTTTTGAGTTAAAATATTTTCATTAAATAAAATAAAAATAAAAATTTTATGTTGTAAAATAAATTCATTAATAAAAGTTGTTAATACAATAAAAATTGGAAGAAAAAAAAACTACTAGCTTAGTAACAATTTAATCCTGACAGCTAACTCGCAGCAGTGGTCATGTCACTGCCTTCACTACTTTGATCTACTTCAGAAAATAGCATTCCTGAATAATTTGCATTTGAAACAAAAAATCATAATAAAATAAAATATAATTAAAATTTATTTTAATTAAACAAAAGCCATCCAGCACAACTTTCTACTTCTCCCACCTTCATCTCTGAACCTAACGGTTCTTCAAAGACACGTGAACCACCTCCGACGAATTCTAGATAACAAAAACATAAAACATCACCTCTCCTCATGCCATCATCTTTTACAAGTTCATGTCATCCATGCCCAATCCACATCTCAACTGGGTTTCTTTCGGCTCTACAGGCTTCACATTCATACATTTTTCCATATTCATTGTCAACTAAAGTTATCTCATCTTCATCCAAACATAGACATCCCCTTGAAATATTACGTGGAAAATGCTACAATCACCATGGTGTAACCATATATTATAATAAACCTATAATCATTTCAAATTTAACATGTATTTTTTTAATAATTAAGTCATACCAACAATTGGGTTCCTTTTTTGTTTGTCGGGGTAATCTCTGTCTCCCAATATAATTCATTACTATTTTCAATTACACTCTATTGAGGTTGATTGATTACGACATCTCTATGTCCTGGTTCTGCATCTATCTTAGGATCTTCTATCTCTCTTATGATTTCATATATTATTTTAGCTACATCAGAAGAACTGCAATACCAAAACAAAACACGAAATACATAAACATGATTTACATATGCAACATAAAAATGTAAGACCTATAACTATGTATCGTACATCATAGAGGAATCATCATAAATTAAAATATAGGTGACAATTTTTCAAGATAATGCCCAAAACAAAAATTGGAAGATACAATTATGAATAGGAAAACTCAACCCTAGTTCTATATATAAAATCTTATTGGGCTTGAATTTGATAGGACCATGTGAAACTCGATTTTGATATTACAACACCATGACAAAACCCTATTACATACACTGCGATTTATTGTAGTCAAGGAGTCCATGCACTCATGCAGTTAAGTTTCCATGGCTGTCTAATCTTGATCAGACAATTTTGTTTTAACATTAATTTTTTTTAATAATTATTTAAATTTCAGTGTTGTTTTTTCTTTGGATCTTGTGATTAAGATCCAAAGGTTATTAATAGTTTCACTGCGTGAATGCATCAAAATATTACTATACATTTGACCAAAAACTTTTTTTTAAGTTTTTCTCCCTAGGTGATATTTTCTACCAAAGCCAAAATATACACTCAAAATTGACATTCATGTGAATGAATTTCACATTTTTTATTCTGTAAATTTTACTTCAATTGGGCCCGATTGGATTATTTTATATACTACATCCTATTATCAATTTTTTTTCAGAAACCTAATAAAAATGATAATTAAGATGATTTGATAAGAATCTAAAATCTGATTTACTAGGCCCCAATTGGATCTATTTCATATACTACGTCAAAATTAATACTAGTAATCTTTAATGGATTATACATACATATGAAGATGAACAATTAGTTAAAGCCCCCACTATAATTACAAACCAACACACAAACTGCAAACACAAAAATTCCATAAATACTAGCTAACCACCCAACCGGATACTGACACCTTAACACCACAACAATCTAAGGTGCAACATGATCACCATCAACAAAACCACATTAATGACCACCAAATTTCATCATATGTTACAATAGGCTGAAGCACGAAGAATTTTCCCCAACCGGTATTTCATGCATTGGGTACATGTGTTGCATCACATGCATTTGATGAGTTACAAGTTTTCCAACAGGCATCATAGGTTGAAGTTCAAACATTAGACTCACATGTCTGCTTGTAACATCCATATGTGGCGTAATTGTAACGTTATCACATTGACTTTGTGGTGTTTGTGAACAATTTTTTGGCCTGCTACTACTAACATTACCATTGGATTTACCTTTACTTTTCTATAGATATAAACTCAATAAATATTTCAAAACAAATGTAAATATAATATAATTAATGAAATCAAATTACCTTTTGTATTTGGCTCAAAGAATCATTTAACGACATTGACTTGAACACAACATTCTATTCAGATGTCCCGTCCTGTGTGTCTTGGAAAATATACCAAAATAAATAGAATATATTTTTCATTGCAATATATATACACTAAGAATAAGATTTTGATCACAAAGAAGGTATGTATTATCGAAAAATTCCTCGCATCATAAGTTGTACTATTGCAGTTTCTGTAGTGTCTGGTTGTTTTGGTTTCATTCTATTATTTCTTTGGAGCACCTTTTCTCTTCACTGTTATTGGATCACCTACAAATGACTTTTGGATCCCAATAGGTTCGTTAGAATTACAATACTTTCTCTGTAGTTTCATTATTTCATCCATTATATCCCCATAAACACCATTCTTGTTTGAGGCTTCTTTGCAAAAAGTTGTAAAAGCAGAACAATAAGCACCAAAACAAGCGAGCTCAATTAGATTCGAATCTACTTCCCCATTAGAATTCCTGTTCAGAAACCCAATTTTGGGATCCTTCGTCCAACGCGACAATTCCAAGCTACTAGGAATGTGATCCATATGCTCTTCCTTCACGACATAAAAACGTGTGAATATGGAAGTCCGTGAGAATAAATAATCTACACGAACACCTTAGTGTTTTAAATGAAGCATCATATACAACTTCTCTTTCAAAACCAACCTCACAATATGTTGTCAATGTAAAAACTGTCGTTTCCCCTTCTGATAATCACTCTTTCATAATTAATGCACCACCTTCATAATTTCTTCTTTTACTTCTTTAAAAATCTCAGATGTATAAGTTTTAGCAACATCACTCTCAATCTAACACAGATGATTTTTCAATACAGGATCTAAAAACTTTGATATAAAATCAGCAACAAGTTCATTATTTTTGTACTCTCTCAAAGTCTGTCCAAAATTATGCACAAATTCAAAAATGCACCTTTTCTTCCTTACATAAGTCTTGATTATTGCATTGACAACTTCACATTGAGACGCAGCTCTTATACATCCAAAAAACTTACTGCAATATGTAGTTGCCTAAAGTGACTTGTTTCCACATGTCTTGGCAACCCAAACATTTTCTTCAAGTTCATTCTCCTTAACTAGCTCTGACCAAAATTCTTCAAATTGTTCAGGTGTAGAATTTGAGTATATTTTTTTTAAACCATCCAAAAACGGTGACTTCTTTACATTTCACTTGCATTCATGTTCAAATTCTAAGCACACAACCGATGAATCACATCAAAAAGTTTTGTTTTATGGATTCCCTCATTGCCTCATCTTCATCGTTACCACTGCTTTTGGATATTTATTTTTCATGCACTCTAAAAAAAACCTCAGCAGCCACTTATACGTCTATGTCGTTTCATCCGACACTAATGCAACACCGAATATAAAAACATGTGAGTGGTGGTTGCACCCAAAAAATAGAACCAACATATAATTGTATTTGTTCTTCTTGAACGTTGTGTCAAACGCAACAACGTCACCAAAATAGAAATAGTATGATCTACTAGTGTCATCTGCCTAAAAAATTGATTTCAATCATGATCCATATTGACAGAATATTCTACATATAGTGTAAGATCCGCAAACGATTTCACGTTGAGATAATTTAAAACAACAACAACATCACCATCTTTAATAACAATACACTTTTTTTTTATCAAAATAATTGTACATATCTTTCTTCGTTAAACCAACATCATTATATCCACCCTTTTGAGCAATCATGTATCCCTTTATATGACACGTTCTTATTCCATGTGATTGGAGACGATTAATTTGAGCTCTATCAGATTCAGATATTTGACGATAGATGGGGTGTAAATGCACAAACTTGGATGGGGTTAACTCTTGCTTACAAGCCTCTTCAAAAATTGACACTACATATTTACCCGTTTTGGCTTTGTAATGCACACGGAGCCTAGTTGCGTATCTAATACTGGTCAGACATCGGTTATCTCTTTCTCTATCTACCTCAGTTAAGTGTTTCTTGTCTCTTATTCCATATTTGTTCCTTCCTATCTCATTACTGGAGGCTAGGGCTTGCCCACGGTGGCGAGAAACCCTGTATGATAGTGTTTTATGGTGGTTTAGAAGTCTTGTTCACGTGAGGTGAGAAATCTTGTTATTGAACGGTGTGCTTAGGTGTACGCGTACACGAGGCGTGATCTGTATTATTTAAGATTTGTCTCCCTCACATGATAGATATGAGATATTTATAGATGTTATCTTTAGTCTGAGTTGTAGACTTAATCGAAGATTATGCCATAACTCCTGTTAAAATTGATGGTGGATTTGCCTAAAGCTAAGGCTTGACAATGTTATTAACTAGATCTAAATCTTATCATTATCTATTCTCTAAATGCAGTGGGAATATTTTTTTGACAAGCCAAAGAGTTTTTTCAATGAAATTTGGATCTACATCTTAAGAGATTGTTTTCTATATCTCTAAAATAATTCTCTTGCTTGTTCAGAAAAAGATTTTAAAATATACATATAACGTTTTTCTAGGGGCTGCTATATACATTTATAAAAGAAGATTCAGTATCTTAAACAGATATAAAACATCTTTTGTTCATAGAGCAATAAATAGAAGTAGCTTTTAAAGTAAAAACAAGATAGATATTTGAATGGAATAATTCAACTTTTACTTTCTTGTTTTCTGACTAATAGTTCAACCTTTATATCCATATTTTATTATTTGTATATTTGTATTTATATTTAATTTCTAAATAGCAAGATATTTATTGAACTAAACAATAGAATAAGTCCAGCTAACCCTACAACATAAATGCTACAAGTCAAACCACATGACTTGACCAACATGAAAAGTATTTCATCCATATCATACGACCCCTCTTCACATTGTTTATTCAAAAGAAGGTTCTATACCTTTCATTGAAATTATTCAACTACTTATAGATATATATCCTTAAAGAAAAGGCAAAAAAGCAAACATAAACACACATAGAGTGAGAAAAGAAGATGGGTGTTAATAATGGTTTCAAGATGGATAATCAACTTTTACAAGATGATGATGATGATCTTCCACTTCCTGGATTTAGATTCCATCCTACTGATCAAGAACTTGTCACTTTTTATCTTCAAAGGAAACTTGACAAGAAACCTATTTCTATTGATCTTATCAAACAAGTTGATATCTACAAATATGATCCTTGGGATCTTCCAAGTATGTATTCACTTTACCCATTGTATTTTTTTTCTTTTTCTTTTTCATACAATATTAGGGTTTCCATGTAATTTAACACAAGCTAGAAGGAAAAATATAGCATAACATTTGCAAACATATATTCTATGCAGAATCTAGTGTACATGGAGCAGAAAATAAAGAAGGTTACTTCTTTTGCAAAAGAGGGAGAAAATATAAGAACAGCATTAGGCCGAATAGAGTAACTGGTTCTGGATTCTGGAAAGCAACAGGAATAGATAAAGCAATATACTCAAATGGAGGAGAAGGAAATGATTGCGTTGGACTCAAAAAAACACTTGTTTACTACCGTGGTAGTGCTGGCAAAGGCACCAAAACTGATTGGATGATGCACGAGTTTCGTCTTCCATCTAATATTGCCACCAAGACAAATCTTGCTCATGCTAAGAATGATACTGATATGGCTCATGAAGCGGTAAGTATAATAGTACATGCTATTTTTCTGTTATGTAAATATGTAAAAAAAAAAATTCATATTAAACATGTCATAATGATTTTCTATATGGCATACAGGAAATTTGGACATTGTGTAGAATTTTCAAAAGAAATGTATCACAAAGGAAGCAACAAATGGCAGAGGTGAAACCATTAGCTACCAAGCGTCAGGCTATTCATGACAAGAGCACCAGAATGAGCAGCAATATGGAGTTCATGTTAAATCAACAAGCATACATCAATTTTGGTCCAAGCCATCAAGATCATCATAATCAGGATAAACCAGTGTTACCAGTAAATAACTATACAAGTAGTTATCAAAGGAATCAATTCTCTTCAGTTGCACAGCAACCTCAACAAATTTTAATACCATCTTCAAACTTTTGGATTCAGGAAGCTGCAAATGAGTTATTATCATTTGATAATTGGGATGAGCTTGGATCAGTTGTGAAGTTTGCTGTTGATTCACCTAGTTTGTAAACAGTCATTAGCAATGTGTTGTTGGAATATAAAATAGATTTAGAAATCATTGATATATAATTGATGGTGTAACTTTTACAATACTTGTTGACTTCACTAATACTGAAATAACTTTAGAACATCTTCAACAACAGTACAACTTATCTTTGAGTTTTTCTTAATATATTAAATTACAAAAGCAATTCATCCAATTTTAATTTCAATGTAATAATTAAAGAATTAATCCTACAACTTTATCTCATTTATTAATATTTTATTTATAATAAATCTATTTAGTTTAAAATATTAATTTAATTAAAGTTATTTAAACACTATTAATATAAAATTAAATTAATAAATAAATTAAATTAAACTTTAATTTTAAAAATAATTAAAATTAAATTTAAGTACATGACATATATAATTAAAAACAATAAAAAAAATATCATATAATTAATCAAATTTCAATTTCGTTATACTCATACCCAAAAGTTTTGAAATATACTCTACTAGATCTATTTGAAGTTGTTGTTAAATTTATTTTTTATTGTCTTTCTTTGTAATTTTATAGAAAAATTTGGATGAAAACAGTTAAATGTTTAAATTGAGATATTATTATTCACATTATTATAAGAGTAATTAAAATTATTTTCATATGTGTTATTAAAATTACATCATTACTATAAAATATATATTTGGTAACACCATTTAATAATGACCGTTTAAAAAACCATAATAATATATCAATTTTGCTCACCTGAATCTTTTATTATTTTATTGAAATGACCTTTAATAACAACCGTTGTTATTGCTAGATCCACATATGAAATTATGGGGATACTTGCCCCCACCAGACTTTTGTTTTTTGTATACTTAGTATTTAATTGTTTAATATTTCCATCGTAGATGTTACAAACATAACTGACGAGTCTTATGACACTCCCTATTATATAAATTTACATTTAAAAAATAATATATATTTGTATTATTAGAGTTATTCTAATAAGTTGATTATGTTAAATATTAAAGAATAACTATTTTGAAATATATATATTTTTTATTTTAACATTTTTTTTATAGATTTGTTCTATGTTATAGAAGTTTAAGTATTTAATTAACACTTATTTTTATGTTCTCGTATGATTTTTAAATAATTCATTTTATGAAATTTAGTGTGCTGAAAATAAAGAATTTTTTTATAAAAAGGTGAAATATTTTACATTTAAAAAAAATGCTTATTAGAATGTTTTTCTTAAAACTTTTTGGTTTATTTACGGTTTTAGAAATCTTATTTTATCTTATTCAATGAAGTAATTTCTACATTTTAAATTCAAATAATTTTGACATTTCTCTCACATTTTAAAGCTGATGTTATGTCTATTTTTTAATGACATTTAATTTATATAATTTATATTTAAAGTTCTTTGAATGCTGATTAAAATCATTCTCATATTTTTGAATTGACAATTGATTATGTTTTCAATTTTTTGATGTATAATTTATAATTTTCATCTTTAAAGTTATACAAAGATTATTATATGCTGATTTGTAACATTTTACGAATGATATATGATTAAAAAATGAATATATAATAAATTTTAATTGCAAAAATAAGACGGAGGTCAAAATCATTTGAATTTAAACTAAGAAACTAATTTAATAAATGAGTTCAAAGATAGGAGACAACATCATAATTAAGTACTTTGAATTTTTCTTATTGAATCTTTTTTGCCCCCACCAAATAGAGTTTCTGGGTCTGCCATTGACCGTTGTGATAAATGAAAGGGCTTATCCTTATAATCTAATAAATATATTAAAATAGTATTTACATTTTATTACAGATTTTGTTAACAAGCACAGTGTTAAGTTTTTCACATATAAATGAGCAAAGTTATCAAACTTTCACACATAATAGTCATCATTCTCAAAACAAAATCATAATATTTCTCTTTTCCATATGCAGGGAACTCGTCCTTATATGCTTCTTCCTCTCAACATGAATTAGAATCATGAAGACTTATCTAACTAATCTAGTGGGAGCGCACTTATCAAAGACATTGAAGTTCTTAAGGATGTTGGTGATATGACTAGTTTTGGTTAAATGATGCCAAAAGAGCAGGAGATGTTAGGAATAACATCACAATTGTTGAACCTTCTAGTGGGACACCGACACTAAGAAGATAATGATCACCAATTTGAATTTTGAAAAGATAAGAAAGATAGAAGGTGATGTTGAAACGCTAATGGAATCAAGTGACTTTGAGTCAGATGAAGATTGGGATAACTTCTTGGATTCAATTGGGCATGAAGTCTGAAGGGTTCATTGATAAAAGGGAACTTCTTATCCTGAAGATTTAAGTTTTTCTTTCACTTTGATGACCCTTGTATTTGAGTATATTTTATTTTTATTTATAAAGGCTTTATAGCCTCGTTGAACTTATGTACAATAACATATCCAATGCTAGTTGTTCTTCTCATGTTTTCTCTGTGTTTGTGCTAAGATACTAAGGGATTGATAACAACCGTCTGATTTTTTTCATTGAAAGATATATCATCACGGTTCTTTATAACAACCAATATGAAAAACATTTTATTATCAAAGAAACGTGAAAGGGAATCTGATTCACGTGCATGCTTTAAATGACCAATTGAATATAGTAAATTTCTCATCATCACAATCAATGACAGATGCTACAAACTGCGAGTTGGCATGTGTTTTCAGTTGTTGTTATCCTACCAAAAGAGGGACAATGACAGCCTCTTAGCCATGGTAAGTTTTAAATCCAAATCTGTTTTATTAGACCTTCTTAAAAAGTTCTTTAGCTTTCTTTTCTTGCTCTTCATATTTTGAGAAGTTTGAGAGTTAAGGGTATTTTGTATTGTCTCTTGCGTGACCAACTCATTAAATGTTGAATTTTGATATGGTGTTGAAGACTTGGGATATAACATCTTGATGGAACTTCTTGTAGTATAAGTATCAAGGGTAAAATTACTTGGAACAAAACGTTCTTGTTGTAGATTTGTATTTGTGAGCTTTTTTGTGAATTTTGAATTTTTCTTGTAGCTTAAGGGTTTTGGTAAGCTTGCGCAAAATGACCTCTTGGTGTATTGTTGTTTTGAAATTTAATCCATGGGATTTCTTTGTATGATGTATTTAGAACAGATGAAGCTGGATTGTGCAATATGAGAAAGTTTATTTGCTTCATCACTTATGGCTTGTAAAAAGCTTGTATAATATGCCTTGGTCCCTCTTTTAATGTAATGTGACAATTGTTGAAGCGGTAAAGCAGCAAGCAAAAATATTATTTTCGGAAGAATTTCCTCCGGGATTTATCGTCTCCACAGGGATCAGTGTGAGGGAAAGAATGCCGTTCAACAATCTCTACGTCTCTAAGCTTGAGTTTGAATGGTTTGGGATAAAAATTCAAAAGGAAAAACATAAAACAAGAAAATAAGTACATTCTTAAGAAATGAGAAAACTCGTCAGGAGTTGTATTTCGTTCTACCCATCGTGTACTAAAAAATATATGGATCAAATGCACGCAACCTAATTCGCTCGTCAATATCATCACGTATCGCTCACAACAGAGTTTATCTCTAACACAAAGTCGAGAGATCAACCGTATCGTCTCATTGTTGATCTCTCACACAAATCGACAACACGGAGCATTAAGAATCGATACCCACGTGAATATTAGTCCTAAATCTATCTCTAGCATTTAGAATCTAATAGATGTTCATCTAAGATCGAGTTCGAACAGTATATGTCTATCACAATCCAAACCCATTAAGTAAAAAATCAAGATAACCATCGATAAAGAGTTGTAAAAGAGATTTTATACAAAGATCCATAAATATACATACAATTAAGATAAACTTACATACAAAACCCCAACAAATGAAAAATACATAGAGAGGAAGGAAGAAGAACACAAATCTCACGGTCTGTCAACTCTGGTTGAAGTGGATTCGACTCCGGATCGTCAAGATGCACCCTCCAATGTTGTTTCTAAGCTAAATCTACTCAAGAATGTGTTTGATGAAGTTGGGGTAAAAAGTTCCCAAACAACATAACCTAAAAAATGCTGAAAAATCACTTAAATAGACAAAAATGGGTCCCAGTATTCGCCTGGCGAAGTCCCATTCGCCTGGCGAACATATGCAACTTTTGCTTCTGTAAAAACAGTGTTTTTCACGCGTTTTTGAACTTTCGGTTCGCCTGGCGAACTTTTGTTCGCCTGGCGAACATTCGCCGGGCGAACTTTGGCGAACATGACAGCAAACCAACTTGTTTCGACCATAACTTTTTAACCGTAACTCCGTTTTTTGCCCGGTTCGAAGCGTTGGAAAGCTTATTCAATGCTCTATATAACAATGCTCCAACATCAATGCTTTATTACCTACAAAAATGAATGAAATTCAATTAAACTCAATGATATTTACAGGAAAACATAATATATACACTATAACGTAAAGTAAGCGCATTTATAAACAAAGCGGGGTTTATTCAAACGATTTTAACATAAAGTAACGTTAAGTGCAACAAAAGTTATATACAAAAATAGGTAAAATTTGCACTTAACAACTCTCCCCAACTTACCTAATTGTTTGTCCTCAAACAAAGTCGACAACTAAAGGAACAAAAGTGAAATCCAAGAAATCACGTAACAACAAGTTTTGACAAACGGAAAACAAATGCAATGGTTCAATCAAAAATTGATACATGCAAAGTGAATACTTACCACTAAACTTCAACGATAACATAATCACGAAACAAATGCTAAATACAAAAGTCATGCCAAACATTCTAAAACAACACAAGCTCAAACGTGAATCACACCTAGCAAAAACAATCATCGGTAGATGAAAAACACAAAATGAGGGCTTTTTTCACTCACACAATAATCTTGCAAACAAAAGACTAAATTATGCAATCATACAAAAATCATGTTGAAAACACAAAAGCAAGAATCAAAAAGGACTTTCAGGGTTGTAATGTGGTCGGGTGAACAAACAAGGGA